ACAGTCTGAGGTTTGTACTGTATGGAACGAGGGAGGGAAATGAAGACTTTTTTTCAAAATAACCAGCAGAGAACATCTTCCACACTGAAGCCTTTGATTACTATCAGTTCCTTAGATGTCACTTAGTTGCTTAGGAAAAGTGACAGCTCTTCTCTGACACCTGACAATGACATCAAGAGAGTTCACCCTACTGATCTGTCCATGATGTCTCACTTCTCAGAAGACAGGATGAGAAGAGAGCAAAACCACAGCTATGTAAATAGTACCACTCAGGAAAGAGGGTACTGATGAGCCTTGGAGGGGTTATTTGGCCTTGAGACGGCAATGGTCAAAACCCAAATTGTATTTGGATTCTAAGAGACATTATCGAGCTAATAATTTTCCACATGGGCAAAAAACTGAGCTCAAGAAACAAACTTCTGGGACCAGCAGTTAGTGTAATGGCTATGTCACTGGACTCCCACGTAGTTGACCGCAGTTCGCGTCCCAGACCCAGTGGCTTAAACTCACGCCAGGCGTGTGTGTATGTGTGCCCAAGATCCCAAGAGGAGAATGGAGAAGGGATTGTGGTGTGGTCATCCCAGCTGGGGGGTGATTTCTTGCTTTCTGTCTCTCTGTCTCTCTCTGTCTGGCAAGCACACGCACCCTATTGCAAAAACCTCTCCAAAAAAAAAAAAAAGAAACAAACAAACTTCTTATCCTGGAGACATTTGAATAGTTCTCTTGGGAATTTTTGCCTTAGTGGGAAATTATACTGAACTTTTTAATTGTCAGAGGGGCACATGCTTTCACCAGCTAAGACGGGAGTGGGGTGGGGGTGGGAAGCATCCCCCAGTGGACTGTAGTCACGCTGCAACCCCTTCCCCTCCACTTCTCCACCCTGTCAGGGTCTTAGGCAGGCATGCACACACACTCAGCGTGTTTTCAAGTCATCAGGGCCAGGAGTCAAACTGTGGTCAGCCATGTGGGATCCAGTGCCCTTAACCTGGGTTAAAACCACCCCTACAGTGAAAAACTTCTAAGGCTTTACCCAAACTAAACCAGCCTGACTGCCTCCCATTCCAGACTTACAAAGCTGCTGTTATGGACGAAGGAGTAAATAGACTGTGGCTCTAACCTCATGGAATCTTCTACCCCTCGCTCTAGTCAAGATCCTCAGAGGCCGTCTACACTGAAGGGTTGTGGGTCCCCGCTTCCGAAGCACATTCAGAACTAAAACAGTCCTAACCTATTAAGTAACTATGATAAAAGCCAAGCAAGTTCTGATTTTTTCCTAGTGATGCTTACTAGGATAATCAACAATTTGAATTACTAAAGACCGATTTTCCTCCCCTCCACCAAATATGCTCAGTTTTCTTTTTTATTTGCTTTGCTCAGCCTCAGTCTCCTTATCTATAACCCAACACTGCTCAGCCCCCACCCTCACGGACCTTCCAGGCAGGCACCACTTTTTATGGACGCAACACATAAGGCTGTGTCTGTCTGCAGGGACGTTGCCCCAGGCAGTGTGCAGAAAGGGGATGCACTCTCTGCCACCCAAGGGCAAGCAGTCACAGCTCACTGAAGTGGCTGCTCGATTCCAAGGGCTTTCTTTAGCACTTCATATCATCCTATGACAAACTCCTACAATGTCATTTTTATAACCCAAGTGGCTAAGCCAGCATTCAGTCAGGTGTGCTCCACCAGGAGTCAGAAAGGCCCGACTGACGGTACAGCATGGCACAGCAACTCAGCCATCAGAGCTGAAGCTGGATCCCCTAACAGGAACTCTGTCACAAACTGGTGGAGAACTTCCATGGAAACGTTCTCTGTGACCCTGCGAGCCTTACTGGCGGCTGTGAACTTGGCAGGGCTCCTTCCAGCTCCTGAACTCTTCCTGATGCTCAGCTGCAGTGTGGTCGGGCTCGTCATTGGCATCAAAATCACCTTCCAGGGGGCCATCAAGGAAGTCTTCGCCATCACTCGCCTCCACCTCAGCATTGATGTCGAACACCTGATCATTCTTCTTGAACTTGTCTACCAGGGCCGACACAGACTAGAGGGGACAGACGAGAATTCTCAAGTTCTCATCCAGTAACACCCCGGCTCCCCACTGGACAAACAGCCTTCTCCTTGCCCTGCACCGCCCTTCCCGCCCCGCCCCCGGAGCCGGCGTTCTCAGAGCCCGGCGCTGAGGAAGTTTACATTGTGCGGCACAGGATGAAGCTGCATTGTCAGGCACGTTTGGTAAAACATGAAACAGGAATCCGTAGCCATGAACTACATGTTTAGAGAAAACAGTTCTCCATGGAGACCATTTATTTTGGAAGTTGTCGTAAGTAGGCTAAAGGGGCCCGCGCTAAAAATACTCAGAGGAGAGCATGACACATGACAATTTCTCAGAAAATCCTGTGCCAAGGGACTCGGCCCCGCACAGCAGGAAATTCCTCGAACTTGACAGCAGCCTAAGAAAGCAGAGGCCACCGGGGTGACTGTGTTCCAGAGTGAACGTGACAGACACTGTCCACCCGTGGCCAGCAGGGCTGCCTTACCTAGGGAAGCCGAAGGGACGGGGGCTGACCCCAGCACTCACTCGTCTGTGCGCTGGGCTGCTGGGCTTCACAGCCCTCCCTCCCCACCCTGCAGCTCTTCCGTCCCTATGAAGTGCCAAAGGAAATATTTTCTGTACTTGCGGCTAAATAAAAATGATGCCACAGTTTTGGTTCCCATTGGGCAGAACTAATCTCGGGTCATTTAGCTGAAACCATAAGTCACTGGAGAGATGCCCAGAGCCCTTATTAAGTCCCAAAGCTGACCACACCTCATTGTGTGTTTCACTGTCCCACTTAGTGAACTGGAACCCGGCCAGGGAAGGGCAGACCTGGCGATCTTCCACACACTGCTGCAGCGGCGCTGGAGAGAATGGCAAGAACACACAGGTTAGAGAGGTCAAGCACGTTCCTCATTCCCTCAGACGGACACCGCGGCACCACGGACATGACAGGCAGTCACCTCACTGTTCAGCGGCGGCTCGAGTGCCAACACTGGCTGGCTGGCCTGCTCTCCCAGGCCATGCCCGCGTGGGAGTTAGGCTGCACTCTGCTCTAACGAGAATGGTAAGAATACTAGAGGAGAAACCTGAAGCACGGACGGTTGGTCAGACATGAACTGTGCCCTATGTTATAGTCGGGAAATCAAAAACCCTTCCTCTTAAAAGTATCTGGGAACCATGTCAGGGTACTTATGCTTAGTCCCAAACTAAGCCAGCTACAGGTAATCTACCTCACAGGACTGCAGCCCCAGCTCAGAGCACGAACTTGGAATACAAACTATTATCACCAAAAAGTTACACCAAGTAAAATTCAGGGAAGGACAGAAAAGACAAGATGGGCAGGAAACATCCGAATAGCCCTGGAGGGGAGGATCACTTTGACCTAACATGTGAAAACGATTACGCACGGCCCAGTCACAGTGGCGCCGGCCGGAGGGTGCCGGTGTGACAGTGGAGTCGTATGGGGAAGCCCAGGGTTGGAGCCCAGGTGGAAGTGGGCATGCCAGGCAATCTGGATGGAGACTGCACGGGGCTGCCGCGCGGTGAGGAAGGTACTGGCTTCCCGTTATCCCTGACCTTCTTGAGAGAAATTAACTTCAAAGCAGAGATTCCAAGTGTAGGGACGGCACAGCAAGCACCAACCTGCACCTCATCACAGTCCTGAGAAGGCCCCCAACCCGTGGGCCTAGGGTAGAATGGTGGGACGGTCAATCTTCACCAAGCTGGGATGGGGGATAACTGGACAGGCCCGTTCTTAGATCACCACAGAGTCTAGAAATAATTCACAATGCCTCTCTGGCTAGACAAAGGTCTTTTAAACCACTTTTTTTTCCAAGTCCACACTCCAGGATGAGCCTCTGTACCCCAGTGGTGACGGTAGAGCTGGTTGTGAACTGGCCACTAGAGGTGCCTGGCACAAGAGACCAAGGGGCAGCAGTCCCTCGTTTTAGACTCCCTGCTGCAGGGAGAAAAGACATTAGGGGGCTGCTAGTCACCCCACCTGGCATTCCAGGGGAACCTCTTGGGTGATTTAAATGAGTAACTATCAGAGCATGGTGTACAGGAACGTCTCTGATGACTGGAATGCCCCAGAGAGGCATTATTGGTACTCACCTTTTTTTTTTTTTTTTTGGAGAGATTTTCACTGTAGGGCGCGTGCGCTCGCCAGACAGACAGAGAGAGACATAGAGACAGAAAGCGAGAAATCACCCCCAGGGGGGATGGTCACACCGCAATCCCTTCTCCTCCATTCTCCTCTCGGGATCTTGGGCACACACGCACACGCGCCCGGTGTGAGTTTTAAGCCACCAGGTCCGGGACATGAACCGCAGTCGACTATGTGGGAGTCCAGCGACATAGCCATTACGCTAACTGCTGGTTCCCAGTACTCACCTTTTAAATCTGTCATTTCGACCCAACCCAAATCAGGCATCTCAGGAGGGTCTCCACTGGAGAGAATCTGGACGTCCGAAGGGAAGAGCAGCTCACTTCTGTAGTCGTGGCAGTGGAGGGTAGAGAGAAACACCCCTGCTGTGCTACATTCATCAAACGAGGCTGCAGTCTTCTGAAACATGGGGTCAACCTGAGTACGGAAACAGGAACCAAGACTTACAGCGCACGGCCCTCGGAAATGGGAGCTCTCAGGCATCGGCCTCTGCTCTCATGAAAGTATCTCTGCACGTGATCAAAACGAGGGAGACCCGGTAACTTAAACCACACACGCTGGGTGAGTGTGCGTGCATGCCCAGGATCCGAGAAGAGAATGGAGGAGCAGGGACTGCAGCATGGCCATCCCCCTTGGGGTATGAGTTCTCACGTTCTGTCTCTCTCGCAAGCGCACACACCCTATAGCAAAAATCTCTCATTAAAAAAAAAAAATACAAGATGGCTGTTACATGTTCAGATGGAAAAATGTCCACTGCTCCAGAAGACAGTACACTGTGACAGTGTATACTGTGTCTATCTGCTTGTTTACAAGGCACATGTCCTGGGACACACATCCTTTTGCTAGTCTTCTTCAAGCCAATATTTCTAAAAGGCCAGCTCTAAAATCCCTAGGGCAAGAGAATGCTTTCCTGACAAATTCTGCAGGTTTAAAAAGCCTGTGTGGGGGCCAGACAGTAAAATGTGATGGTCTCTCGAGAACCAGCAGTTGGTGTAATGGCTATGTCGCTGGACTCCCACATAGTCGACCGTGGTTCGCGTCCCAGACCCGGTGGCTTAGAACTCACGCCAGGCGTGTGTGCGTGCGTGCCCAAGATCCCGAGAGGAGAAT